TTTGAAGGGGGTCAGGGTCCTGCTATGTTGCCTAGGCTGGCCTTGAACTTGCTAGGAACCCTTAGCTGGACTCAATTGCACAGTTCTCCTGCCTCAGCCTCCTGAGTGCTGGGATTATAAGCATGTGATATCATGCCAGGCTAAACCTTTCCTTTTTTATAAATTGATTATCTTGGGTATTTTGTCACAGTAATGAAAAGCTAACAAACTCAAATGCATTCTCTCTTTAAGAGCTGTCTTTGTAGAGGGGTACCAGGTTCATTTTTGGATAAATTTTGGGCTGTAGATCAGAGACCCCAAACTTTAAAGTGTTCATGAATCCCCAGGAATACCGATCCAGTGGGTCTGGGTGGGCCTCAGTGTTCACTTTTAACCAGCTCCGAGGGGACACAGATGCTACAAGTCCCAGGCCTTACCTGGGTAGCCAGGTAACAAAGGCTGGTCCTTGTTCTGGTGCTGTGCTAGGTCTATGCAGGCCAGCTCCTCTTGCAGATGAGGCTCTGTGCGGGCCCTTTCTGAGAAGGGCCTGGTATGGAGGAGGGCTGCCTCCCCTCCCCACTCTCAGGGTGAGGACATCTGATGAGTATCAAGGCCACCGTTGAGTCCTGGAGCCCAATGAGGCCAGTCAGTTTTGAGTGGGAAGGTGACTGGACAATAAAGCCAGAGGAGGCCAGGGAGGACAAGGCAGCAAGACCCCTGGGCTCGAAGGGCAGTTCCGGAGTCACACACAGGTCCTCCTCTGGCTGTTCCTCCAAACATCTGTGCAGTTCCTGCCCACTCACCTCCCAGGGCAACAAGTCACAGCCTTTCCGTGAGAAGACACCAGAAATGCTAACAGGGAGAGCTGTGAATACTCACCTTATTGTACCAACTCACCCAATCCACGTGACAACCCCATGAGGCAGACACTATCACCATCTCCTTCTTTAGGATGGGGAAATCCAGGCACAAGGCCATTCACCAGCAGAGCAGGGATCTGCATTGCAGACAGAGACCCAGTTCTAGGCCACGTCTCTACCTGCCTCTGTACCTGTAGGGGCAGATGGCAACCATGGACGGAAACCTCTGAATCCAAGAGCCCAGATAAAACTTTCCTCCCTCTAAATTGTTAACCATAGGCATTTTGTCACAGTGATGGAAAGCTAACACAAGCACTGGCTTGTGAGTCAAGCAAGTCAAGGTTAGACATAGACCTGCCATTGACCGTTCCATATTCTTAAATTTGGGGTTAATAAGCAGGATTACTATGAGAGCCAGGTGGAGTGACCAGCACAAACAGGTGAATATACTAGACTCCTATTGCATACTCATTTTGTGCCCTGGGGGATGGCTATTAAAAAGCGAAGGCAGAATCATTTGGATTCATGGCCACCAGACCGCCCTAGCCTATCTTGCTTAGGCTGAGCCAACCAGGGTTGTAGTTAGAACCTTAGTCTCAGGGCTTTCCCTCCTGCTCAGGGAAGCCCCATCAGGTCTTCTTATGCTGCCTCTGGTCCCCCACTTACAGTCTCAGAAGGGGCCCCACTGGCTGGCAATCATGGCAGTGCTGCCAGAGTACCTGCTGGATTGGTGATCTCAGTACAGGTAGGCAGTAGGCCCCTGCACAGGCCTGGATAAGGATAGGGAGGCATCAGGGTGGTGGGGCAGGCCCAGGAACCCCTGTGGGTCAGGAGGCTGGTGTTCCTTTGGAAGAAGCAGGGATGGACAATGTCTCAAGTGCCCCTGCTCAGTAGGGACGTCCACAGTCACTTCCTGGAAATGGGGCCCTTATGTGCATAGACAGGATGGGGGACTCCTTTCCTTGACCACATATTCTCTACCAAGGTTATCAGCAGGAAAACTTCCTTTGCAAAGCGAATTCCCAACACTTAAGAGAAAGTCACAGCTCCCTTAGGTCTGTTCTGGGGGACCCCCCCCCACAGCTGCAACTGCTCTGTGCCAGATCTGATTTGTGAGGACCCCCTCCTCCCTTGAAATACACCCCATCCTAACTCTCCTCTGAGTCCTCACCCCATCACCCCACTCTGAGGAGAGGAGTCTTTGCCTGCATTGCTCTGCCTGCCTCTTGGGAGATCTTGCTGCCTTCACTCATCTCTGTCATCTCACTGTCAACATGAAGCCGGCGTCCCCCTGGTGCCCTTCTTTTCCATTGGCCTCATCTTGCCCATTCCCCTTGTCTTTGGCTTCTTACAGAGGCTGGGCATGCTTTCTGGTGTCCTCCCCAGACATCCATGTGAGTGACTTCGTTCCTGCTGGCTGTCACTGAGACCCATCTGGTCATCCTGCCCCTTGCTCCTCTGTGCCTTGCCATGTCTTGGCTTACTCTTCCTTTTGGACTTACACAAGCACCTTCAGTATCTCCTTCATCTCATCCCTTTTCTGTCCATTTTCCACTGTTAGAACAAGAAAGGAAACCTGTGAAGTGCTATGCTGTGCCTGGATCAGTGCCTGGTGTGTGGTGGCTGCCCAGGGAACAATATGCTTAACAAATGCAGTCAAGGTTAGGTGGGTCCTGGGGAGGCGTGCACAATAAAACACTTCCTACTGCTCAGTAAGGTTCACTAGCTCTTCCCACATTTTGGACAACTGAAAAAGTATAACTGTTAGAAACTCCCTTCATCTTCCCCTTCTCCTAACAATGAATGTAAACATTGGTAACAGTGGGAAGGGAGGCAGCAGAAAGTCAGCACTGGTGCAGGGCTGAGATGGTCCTTGTTTATGTGTCAGACACCTGGGCTTCAAGGATTTTTTTTTTTTTTTTGGTGGGACTGGGGTTTGAACTCAGGGCTTCATGCTGTTAAAGCAGGGATTACTGCTTGAGCCACATCTCAAGTCCATTTTGCTCTAGTTATTTATTTTGGAGATGAGGTCTTGTGAACTATTTGCCCAGACAGGTCTTGAGCCTTGATCCTACCAATCTGAGCCCCTTAAGTAGCTAGGATTATAGGTGTGAGCCACCAGCACCCAACTAAGTGGATGATTCTTAATAGTGAGGTGTACACAAATCATGAGCCAAGAAAACATTCTACAAAAAAAGACCTGATAAAAAAAAAGCCACTTGCGTGTGCCCAGCTCCCTTCTCTCCAGAACAGTAGTCTGGAGAAGGGGACATGAGTGTGGACATCAGGTGTGGCTCTCCACGACTGTGCAGGGCCCAGCCTGCCATGTGGAAGTGCCTGGCACCAGTGTGGGTTTGACTCAGCTCTGTAGAGACCAGGTGCCTGAGGAGTGAGGAGTGAGGGTTGGTGGGAAAGAATGGTCCACAGTGACCTCTGGGGTCACACATGAAGAGAGCCCCTGAGATGGCCTGAACCCTAGCATGGATCCCCAGTACTGGACACGAGCTAACACTTGCTCAACATCAGCCTTCTTTTTAGGTAACAGGAAGAACTTCATGATGTATTTAATCTTTTTTTGCCTCCTGAATGTCTTCTTCCAGTGTCACCCTCACTAGGGGACTGACCTGTACACTGTGGGTGCTTGGATTTGGCCCCAACCACAGGGACTGGGCTGCAGTATCTTCTGTACCACACCCCACAGGGGCTGCGGCCCTGCTTGCCTGTAACCAGGTAATCAGGGCAGAGGGTCTCCACTCACAGAGGCTGTAAACGCTGCTCACTCGCTCCTCCGGAGAGGTTGGAGGGCTGAGCCTGTGAGCTGCCTACTCAGGCCCATCGCTGCTGATTCTGTGCTTGTTTATGGGGGAACATGTCAGGTATCTCATAAAAGCCAGTCTCTAGGGCTGGTGAGAGAGGGAATGTGGGACCAACAGATGAGTTTGGGAAGGCTTAGGGACCACAGGGTCACACTTGTCATCAGGTTGTGATCTGGCACTTGGAGAGCAGGACGATTAGATCCCTTGGGGTGCTTTTGGGGGCCACTTTCTGGTGGGAGGGCACAGGACTTTGCCTGCTGCCTCTTTCAAATGACAGACGCCCCCGCCAGCCCCTCCCGTTCACTAAAACCTGCTGCAGTAACAGATTGCCATTGCCAGAGCCCTTCTACCCAGTGCAGTGAGTTCTGGGGTCAGGGGCGGAGGAAAGGGCCAGGCAGACTCCGTAGGAGTCACTGTTGCACAGAAAGCATTCTCACCGGCTTGGCTGTGACTAACAATGACCTGGAGCAGCTGCCTCACACTCAAGCTCTGACCATGGCTGGGACTTCCCTAATGGCCACTCTCATGGAGGAGTTGTGGACTTCTCCACAACTACCTTTTACACATGCATCCAGGTGCCTGGGCTTCCCCGGGCATCATGGGTGCCACGTGGTTGGGATCTGACACCGATGACCTGCTCTAGCCTGCAGGCTGCAGGTTTTTGGGACAGTATTACAGCAAATCACAGGACAGCTGCATGACCAGCAATCTGTCATTTTTTAAAATATAACATTTATTGCTTAGATGGTTTGATACAGAACAGCTTTCTTTTCATTCTGAATTTGGAAGTTCTATACAACTGAATACAAAGAGGAACAAAAAGTACCAAAACCGAACTTGTGATTCTCTGTTCATGTGGCATAAACCAGTTTTGTACATAACATGTAGCAGCAGTTTTTAAGTTCCCTTTAGAAAAATATGAATTCTGCACATTTATTATTGTTTTCTGTTTAATGCATGGGCTGAAATCACTGGGATCAACTTCCTTCTTGAAGAGAGGAGAGGAAAGAGACGAAGGTGGGACGAATTTGTCTGAAGCTGGCATCTGACTGTTGGGAGCTTCCCTGGAGCTGTTTGGAAAACAGCCCGAGAGGGTTTCTGTTTTGTTTCACAGCCAGGCGTTTCATGTAGTGATTGACTCTCAGCATTGTGTCCATTAACAAAGAGAAAAAATAAAAAGAAAAAACTTGCACCTCAAAAAACTTTTCAGAAGATCCACATATATATATATATAAATACATATATATATATATATATATATACTTTTTTTTTTTTTTTTGTAAAAGCCCTGAGAGAAGGAGAAAGAGAATCAAACAAAATGTATAGAAACAAATTAGCTGGACATGCAAACTAAGCTATGATTCACCCAGCGTTTCAACAAATCACAAATTTCACAGTTTAATATTGGGGAGGCGGGCAGAACAACAAACAAAAAATACATTTCTCAATCTCACTAATAAAATGTGGCAAGACCTTATTTACTACGAGGGTCCAGATCAAGGCTAAATAAAGCTTTCAATCAATAGTGATTATTGCGAGCTGCAGCCCCGGCTACGTACGTTGCTGAGAGCTGACCCTGCTACATCTCACCGCAGCGTAGAATCTAGTCATGGCTTCTCCCCACAATATTGCGAGTTTAGTGTGGGGAGTTGCAAAGAAAAACAAAACACAAGAAACCCCAAATAAAAATAACAAAAACAAATGCAATAATAATAATAAAAAAAAAACACAACTAAGGGATGTATGAACTGGTTTTAACTCAGAAGACCAAGGGATCACTGGTTCTGATTTGCATTCATCTCTACAGTAAATAAAACCTCATTTTAAAACTGGTTTATACATCCCTAATACAGTTAAAAATCATATATACCTCAACCTTTTATACACAAAGGTATCACTTTTCATTCCCTCTAGGATTATCTATCTTCCTTTGAAGTTAGGGGGGGTTGGATTTTTGCCACCGGAAATTGGTGAAGTGGAGAAAAGGCCTATGTATGTCTGTGTGTACATCTATAAGCAGAGGAGGAGCACCTGGAGCAGGAGAGGGCAAGAGGGGAGAGATCAGGGCAAAGGGACACCTCTCCTAGGACAGGCAAGAGGCTCCAAAGCACCTACAAGTCTGGAGCCCCGGAGCCCCGGCAGCAGTGTGGCTCGGGCATCCTCAGGGTCTCAACTGAAGAACAGGGTCAGCTACAGAGGAAGCTGCTGCTTTCACTGCTGGCAGCTACGGTGAGGGCATTCTATTGCCTGTCAAGGATGGGTGCTCAGTTATAAAAGAGTTTTGCACCCAGGGGCTCAGGCCAGTTAAGGGACTAGTGACAGCACAATTTATCATCAAGCACCAACCCCACCTCACAGGAAGGTAAATACAAGCCTCTCATCTTAAACCTTGCACGTGTAGTTTTATTACCAGTAGTAGTATTTCCTTGCTTTTCAAACAACAGTAGCACAGCTGGGGAAAAGGCCTGGACTGGGCTTAGCAGGAAGACTGGGATACCAAGTTGGTGAGTGATGCGCCCATCATTGCCTTGCTTCCTTCAAAACCCATCTCTCCGGTGCCCCAGGCATGGCCCCGGTGTCTCAAATGCCTACTCTCCACCACACACGCATTCTTACTCCCCTTTCTCTAAGCCACTCCTTGGCCATGTTTGGAGGACCACTGCTGGCCCCTGCTGGATTCTGCAGTCATGGAAGAAAGGCCTGTCTGAGTACAGTAGAGCTATTACCAAAGTGGGCTGACAAAAGCTCCAGGCACATGTTGGGGGACCCAGCAGCACAGGTCTCCCAGGACAAATACTGCCCATCTGTTTCTGCTGACTGCCGAGCCCAGCAAACTGATGAACAAAAAATAACAACAACAACAAGAATAATATTAACAACATACACCAAATAGGGAGGGGAGAAATCAAATATATGACATCCAGGCATGTTTTCCATAGGTCAAGTTGCCGGGGAGGTAACTCTTCTCTGTAAATTAAAAACAAATGTTTTGAAACTTGAATTGTAACCATTTCTAATGTGGAAAGAGTAGAAACATGGCTGAAGCTAGAAATCTGTCATGGTTTTGGCTTGAACCATATTAGAAACCTTCATCAACCACATCCTGTAATACCTAGGATCAAAGCATAGAGGATCAGATCCTCTATGTTGCAAACAAAAGGGGAAAAGAGAAAAAAAGGTCTATTTGAGAAATCAGCCTCACATCCATCTTCCCTCGGGTCACACACATGAAATTCACATCATTTTCTTCCAGTTATTGGCTATGGGGATCCAAGGGCATAGTTTGCTTTCTTCTGTTTCCAGCTCACAGAACAAGCAGTACTATCACAGATTCACAAAAACAAGCTCACACACACCAATACAAAAGGTAATGTTAATGCTTAAATTCATTAAAATATTTGTTTTGTTAAAAGTCATTTTGCGGAAACACAACACCCACGAGGACATGGGAGGATCCGTAAGTAGTTAAGGCACTGGAATTGACCATGCTGTGGCCTGGTGCACGGCACGCAGTAAGGCTATGGCACGAGCTGATTGGCCACATGCTTGTCGCTACTGCGCTCGCTCGCTCTCTCTCGCGCTCTCTCTCTCCCCTCCTCCTTTTCTCTCTCTCACTCCCCAATAGCTGAAGGACACTGAGGAACCTCATAAAGTATAGATCTGGGATGCTTTGCTCTGCTGGCTTTGTGTGTGTGCTGATGGGGACAAGGTGGGCCATCATTCTGTCCCCAGGAGCTGTGAGGCACTGTCGGCGGTGGCCAGGATGGTGTGGGCAGGCTTCTTGCCACACAGCTCCAGCAGGTCCTGCACAAGAGCCACTGGGCTCTCTGGGTCAGGGTCACCCGGAGATGCCTGCTCCTTGGGGGCACCACGGCTGGGCTCAGTTGCCCGCCCCCCTACAGCCTTCTCTTCCCGGCGGCTGCAATCCTTCCCAGTATTGGCCAAGCTCTCTTTCCGGCTCCGGGTGACAGCCATGTGGTTGCTGGCACTGGGAGCCTCTGCTTCATTCTCTGAGACGGGGTTGTTGCCGCTGTGGGTGGATTCGTTCTCACTGTCCTCCTCCACCCGCTCATCCTTGTCACTGTCCTTCCCATGGTGCTTGCCGTGCCTGGCTTTCTGGTGTATCCGCTGGTGCCGAACCAGGCTGTGCTTCAAGGTAAAGGTTCGCTCACATGTCTGACACTTGTATGGCCTTTCCCCTGAGTGATCAGAGAAAGAAAGGACACAGCGATTAACCATAAAGCCACTGGCTCCTAAATCATTTATTCCACCCAGGAGCAGCAGCCAGCACTGAGCATTTGGGGCCAGGACCCCCCTGCTGCTCAGGGAGAGTCCTCTCATTTGTCTGAGATAAATGCCAGGGACCACATTCTCTCTTCTGTTTCTCTCTCAACCCAGGTCTTCTGCAGACTGATCCTAGAAACCGGAATTCTGACAACAGATACCGTGGGGACATGCAACCTGGCCTCGACCACAGCCCAGAAAGAAGTAAGAGGGAGAATAGGCCTGTCCTCTGCCTAGCTCTGCAGGGATGCCAGTAGCCTCCCAACTCAAAGGCCAGAGGTTCTCTGTTTGGAGGTGGCTGAGTTGGGCTCTTCCTGGTGGCTCATATGCCAAGCTGCCAACAGCTGAGAACAGTACTTGTCAATAGCCCCAAAACAGCTCTCTGTTGAGAGCATGGCAAGTGGCCTTCCACACCTGAGCACAGGACCTAGTGGCCATGTATGGGGAACCACAGCTGTGAGGGGAGAGAGATGAGACCCAGATGAGGGACCTAGATGCTTTTATGGTGGCTTTGTGGTTATATCTAGGTCTCCTTTTTTCTGCCAAAGCAACAGCCCCTGCTTTGAGGTTTATGCGTTGACTTGCAGAGGGCAAGTGAGTTCCAGAAGCATGAATGCCCCACTGTGCCCAGGTAACCACCAGGTGAGGATCCTGTCACAGTCCCATCAGACTGCTGCAGGGCCAGGAAAGGAACAATCTCACTCACCTGGCTGCTCACGGAGGGCGCAGAGGGGTATACCCAACAAGGGCGGGGCGGCACCTATTTACCCTGGCACACCCCCATGGTCCTTCCAGGAGTGGGTTCAGAAATAGACTGGATGGGGCCATATGGCCCAAATGCCCAGCATCTGCCTTATTCTAGATACCTACACAGACGATGCAGCCATCATCCCCATCTACTGGGGCCGAGGGACAGAATGCAATACTCTCAGAAGCACTGCTGCAGAGGGAGCACTTGACTTACAACTGTAACACTCCCATGGCTGAGAGAATGGCTTCTTCAAATGCCTAGTTTCCTAGGCTGGAAGGGCACACCGGCAACCTTGTCAATTTCCTCAGTGGCTCCTAGCACTGCTTCTGGGGAGGAACTTGGGCTCACTGTGGGCCAACCTCACCTCCCTCCCTGGGCTAGGGCCGGGTCTCCCCTACCTGTGTGGGACCTCATGTGCCGGGTGAGGTCCTGTAGGGACCAGAAGCGCTTGTTGCACACACTGCACACCTTCTTCCTCTTGTCTGCTTTGCTGGCTACACTTTTGGGAGAGTCTGTCTTTGGTTTCTTGTCATCATCACTCCTCTCAGAGGACTTCTTCTCGGCTGCACTTTCCCCGTCAGATGGCCCCTCTGTCTCCTCACTCTGCTTCTCCACTGAGGCCTCCTGGGTGCTCAGGGTCGGCTCTGCTGCAGGGGGCTCAGCAGGCTTCTCTTCAGACTCAGGAATAGGGATGGACTCCTCCACTGCTCCGCTGGAGTCCTCGCCCTCCAGTGGTGCCTCCTTCTCGTCTTTGGGCTCCTGGTGGCCATGCGCCTTCCTGTGGCGGCTCAGAGTGCCAAGGAACTTGAAGCTCTTCCCGCAAATGTCACAGGCATGCTTCTGTTCCTGTTGGGCTGCAACTCGGCTGCCCATGGAACCTGCTTCACCCTCAGCCAGCTTGAAGTCCATCAGCTTGCTGGCAAAGTCAAGGTCCAGGCTCTGGTTGCTGACTGTGTCTTCCTCCGGGCTGTCTGCATCCCTGGCACTCTCCTCCATGCCATGCCCTTCCTCTGGCTCTGGGTTCTCCTCCTGGCCCGTTTCTTTCCCGTTTCCAGGGCAGACCACTTCTGCTTTGGCCTCCTCCACAGGAGGAGGATCCTCTGAGGCTGGGCCACGCTCCATGGCTCCCTGTGATGGCAGCTGCTCTTTGTCCCGTGCTGTGAGATCCAGCACCTCACTTGCCACGGCCAATGTCTCCGAGTCCGACTGGCTGTCTGTGCGAGCAAGCAGAGCAGGCAAGAGGGTCACACAGGGAGGCCACTAAGCATGCCCCTTCCAAGGGCTCTACTGGGACTTAGCTGGACCCACCCTGACAGCCTGGACCCCAAACCTAGTAATGACTTCTCCCCCCAAATCGCCATCACCCCCAACATCCTGGAGGGCCAACATGAATCTGGAGACTTAATAAGGGCAAACCCAGCCTCTACATCCTCACAGGTGGGCACACGGGCTCAGAAATCCTGGCATCCACTGCTGTACCCAGGGATGCTCAGCTGTACCCACCCCCCAGGAAGGTGTGAATGAGTGACTCAAGCAGTGCAGACAGAGGGCTGCAAGATAGGAGAGGGGTGCATTCCAGAGACTCACAGCACTAGGGAGCTTGAGGAAGCTGAGCTGTAAAAGTTTTTTTTTTTTTCCAGTGCAAAGAGATTATACAAACATGCAACAAACGCAGGACCGCTCCCCATCCCCCAAGTCTCCCAAGATGTAGTCTCTGGTGAGCTTCACAGAAATGACCAAGCATGGATTCTATGACTATGGTACACACACTCTTGCCTGTCAGCTCATCTCCAAACAGAGGTCAGAGACTGAAGGAGATGCATGTGCACCTATAGCACTGCACAGATATGGAAACCTTTCAAAGGGTAAGGTCCCCTTCATGCCAAACTTGTTAAAGAGCACATGGGGAAGGGGTGTGAGGACAGGGAGTTCTGGGGTGCAGGCATCTAGTGGACACTGACTTACTGTCTCTTGTTCTCATCTGTGTACTCTTTCGTAGTAAAACGAGATGTGGCAAGCCCACCAGCTTTCAATGCCTTCTTAAGAGGGCACTGTGGCAACATTAATGACACCAAGCAGTGTTGGATGCACCACTTTCTCTTTATTCAGGGTGATTGGACACTTACAGCTTTTTAATTATTTGCTCTGACAGCAAAGCAGAAGCTAGCTTGGGCCTATCATTCAGCCATAGATCCAATGTCCAATTTATTACTGAGGCCATTCAGGGCTTCCTCCAAGTCAGGCAGATGAAATCTACTGTTTTACAGCACACATAAGAGATGCCTTCCTTCAATCTGCCACATCTCTGATCATAATGCTTGAGCCAGCAAAGATTCATACACCTAACCTGACTCTCGCTAGCTGAAGCAAATCACCATGTCAACCCACACCTGTTGTTCTTCCTCAAGTGTCACATGTGCTCCAGGCTGGGGTAAGGAGTTGGTACTGCCTCTTCCACTGTTGTCGGAGATAACACCTAGTCTTTGTACCTTTCTGGGGTTTTGAGCTCTCCTATAATCATTTGTATGACACTTCTATCTACACGATTTCATTGGTTTTATTCTGACTGCACTGAGTGGCTGCCACTGTTGGGTATTTAAAGAGATTTAGAAAGGAATCAAACAGTCATGGTATGAAGACAGAATTTTATCTGTTTTTTGAGACAAAGTCTTGCTATATAGCTCAGCTGGCGTTGAACTCTTGATTTTCCTGCTTTGGCCTCCTGAGTTCTGGGATTACAAGTGTGTGCCACCAGGTCTGGCTTATAAATATAGAGTGTTTGACAAGAAATGGGAATCTTGAGAGAAGTAATCTATGTCTAGGCTGTATTTCAAAGAAAAACCTATGGCATAAACTCCATGACAAAAAAGCAAAATGCCCAGCTTATTTGTTGGCTTTGTGGGTACTTTTTGAGAAAAGGTTTACTTTGGTTAATTCTGCTTTGACCTAACATATCCCAGGCTGTTTCTATTTTCTTTTCAGCAAAAAAATATGGATTTCCTGATTTCATTTTTGGACACAGGGTCTTGCTATGTATCCCAGGCTAACCTGAACTCTTGATCCTCCTGCTTCAGCCGCCTGAGTACTTACATTACAGAATAATAGATTATAGGAGTACACCACCATGCCCACTCAGATTTTTTTCTTGAAACAGGGTCTCACTATGTTGCCCAGGCTGGCCTTGAAACTCCTGGGCTAAAGTAGTTCACCTGCCTCAACCTCCTGAGTAGCTGGGCCTAGGAGCATATGTCTCTGCCTGTGGCACATGGGTTGTTTTAACTATACAGAACGTATTTAAGACGATAAAGCATAAAAAAATCAAAATGAGTTCTGAAACCAAGCTCAAGTACACACACTAAGACCAAATCATCCCATCCTCGGGCCCTTTCTCATGGTCAATAATGGAGAGTTTTCCAGAAGTGCAATGACGCACAAACTTCCACTAGGGGGAGTGTTTTAGCCGGGGAGCCTGTGTCCTTTGAGTTCCAAGGAACTCTGATTTTTATTAGATTCTTCACATGAATATTCAACTTGTAAGGCCAGGTCCTATTTTGACCCTCACATCTCCTCAACACTCAGACTCCCAAATGCAGGTTCCTGAACAAATGGCTTCTTATGAGCAACGCTGCCTTAAAAACAAGCACCGCTTCCCTGTCCCATCACTCCCTCATTCATGTTTTCATTTTTCACCTAAAAATCTGCTGGAGGAAGCAGAGGAACCTTAGTACATAATGAACCCACAGCTCCTCCTGCAGGACAGCAAAGACTTTCCTAGTCAGCTACAGTTAAGGATCTCTTGCTCCCTAGAAATGGAATGTTGCTCAACTGATGGGACAGGTGCCCATTCAACCTGTGTCACTGATGGGCAGGGGACCCTGGTTAAGGAAGCTGCTCTGTCTGGACTTTGCCTGGTGCTTTCCAGTCGGGGGGCACTTCCTGAGGCTCAGTCCCCTTAGACACACTGAGAATTCTGGGTTGGCAAAGGTGGTTATCATTAAGGGAAACATTTCAAAGCATTCACATCTAAACTGATTAAAAACAGCCCTGCTCAGGTGCCTTCCAACATGATGGCTCCTTCAGGATCATCAGAGCCAGAACCAAGGGCATCCCTCAAGGGCAAAGTGGGTCATATCTGCCCAGCAGAATATGTATTTCCATTTAAGTACAGCCCCTTAAGGTTGAACTATTCCCCCTGTAGCATTTTTAGCATTGTGCTGGGGGAAATCTGGGATGTGTTTTCATGAAAGACTTATGTGGTTTAAAAATTCACACTCTGTCATTATAAAAACACGTTTAGAGATTTTTACGAACATGAAATCTGGGCATATAAACCTAGAAATCTTAAGAACGCTCTCATTTCCTGCCTTTAAAATAGTTCATCCCCAAGTCCTACTTCTACTTCATGGCAAGGAACACTATGAAACCTCCACCCCAACTCCATCACACTGACCTGGTGTGTAAACTTTTCCTTGGAATCTTTCAATTCCTACCTCCCTGACTTGATTCCTCTCTCTCAGCCTCAGTACTCTTTCTCACCATGGACTGTGCCCACAATTAAACCAAATGTGTTTTCTCTTTGCTGGCTTCACATTACAACTTTCAGTGACTTCATTTCCCAGAGGTTTTGTCCCTTTAAGAAAATCTATGTAACTTCCAGGGCAGAACCTTGGAAAAACAGAACCTATAATTGTAAACTTAAAAAATAAATATACCACAGGCTAACACTTTGTGCTGAAGTGAAGCTCGGGCTGTACACTCTGATTTAGCTCTGTCTGCAGGAGCACCAGCAGTCCCAGGGCACATTCCTCCAGCATGTGGGGATGCACACGGCTACTACACCACTGCACTTGTCCATACATATGGGCACCTCAGTTCCCTGTCCTACCCCCCACCCCAACTTCAATTCCAGCTGCCTTCTCTCCTTTGCAACTGGTACGCAAAGAATCACGTGGCCACTTTGTAAACCAGGCTGCCAAAAAATGTTCTGGACTAACAGGTACTGCGGCAGCCAACAGGTAAACACTAATAGCATGGTCTGTAGCAAAGGAGAGCTCTACAGCATTGAGGTGGCTTCCTGCTGCTTGAGCAGCACATTACACTTGGCTCCTAAGGGATCCTAGCCATGCCAAAATTCTGTGGGTGCTGGTGAAGTACATGGAAATGGAAGGCAGGGGAAGGAGCTAGCAAACCAAGTGACACTTTCCTGCCCTTAAGAGGGTCTGACCCAGTAGGTCGAGGGCATTCCTAATCTGTTGCACTTGGGCTAAGTGGGAGGTAGAAGGAGAGGCAGAGGAGGCTTCCCCACTGGGAAGCAACACTCCTAAAAATACTGCCCACTCCAGTGTGTCACCCCCCCCCCCCGTTGCTGAGTTAAGGACAAGGAGGTTGGGGACTGTGCCTGTCCCTCTGTCCACGGCAACTTCTGGGCTGTGGGTGCATACCATACTATATGGCACTACACACCACCCATGACTGCAGAAGAGAAGCTACGGAACACTACAACAACCCTAGGGAAACACAGGTAAGGGGAGTCTCTATGGCTTAGCTTTAAGCAATGGGGAAACATCAGATTTCAAGACCCAGAACTGTACTCAGGACCTGAAATGCCCTTATTGTCGCTGGTGCTCATCTAAGTGACCTGAAGCAGCCTAGCAGCCTACTTTTGTTCAGTATCTTTTGGGGGCGGGAGGTGGCATACCCCAACAGTCAGAGGTGATGGAGTGTATTGAGTAGAGGACATGCGTAAACACAGAAGCTGTAGGGGAAAAAGGGGGTAGCATTAATTGTTTTGTAGGGGGCTGGAGGAAGGAAGCACACATCAGCACAGAAGAACACCCGATTTGGGTCAAGCACAGATGTGATTAAAGAAAGGACATGCAGAGTGCTTTTTCAAACCAGGACACAGTTTTATACTGAGGAGAGAGTTATTGAAAAGAAAAACACACCCTGCCTTGCCCCACTGCAACCATCCCCCCTAAGGGCTTAGCACCTCCCAGCTGCTTTGATACTGAGGAGGTGGCAGAGGCTGGGGTTCCCCAAACCCTAAAGGTTTCATATTCCTTTCAGAGGTGTTCACACTATGAGTGGGAAGTGCACACCTTGTTCATATCCCACTTCCAGACACGAGAAAAAAAGGTGTCCTCTGCCAGGAGGCTGCTGGGTCTTCCCTAGGAGCTCCCAAGTCACTTCGGGGCCCTGCCACTACTTCTCCAGCTCCCCAAGCTTCTGGCCAAGTTGGTTTGCTGTACATAGGTCTGGGGTGATCCAACCCAGGAGTTAAGCTCCCAATCCTTGGTAGGGCCCTACTTTCTGGGTTGTGGGCTCCAAGTCCTATACAGAGGAAAGAGGGCAGCTCCAGCTCCAGCTCGGATGCCTGAGCTTGAACAAATTTTTAACTAAGCTCAAGGCGAGTGCCCTCCTCTCTGTTTTCCATCACCTGGGGCACTACCTGTGCTATCATGGGATCCAACATCACCCTCTTTTTGGGGAATAAGCCCGTTTCTTCTCAGGGAGCAGGTGGTAACTCCGTGTTTGCGCAACTGGTGGCGTTCACAGTTAGATTTGGTAGAAAAGAAGGCATCGCATTTTTGACAAGGAAAGGGTTTCTGACCTGAAGCAGGAAAAAAAAAAATTTTTATCTGGCTTTCTACTGCAACACAGAAGAAGTGGCTTTTGATTTATTCTCCTGAGATCATTGGCATTTGTCACCCCCCCCGCCCCCCTTTCCTTTAAAGAAAACAAACAAAATACATTTAAAAAGCACAAAACATTAGAAACACCAGTGACTAAAAAGATCACTTTCCCTCAATCTAGGTGGAATGGAATGAGTGTCTATCTTCAAAATACTAAAAAAAAGTTAACAATGAAACCAAGATATATGTGTTTAAAGACAATGGTATTATGATTAAAAAGATTAACTAATTAACAAAAAAAATTAAAGGTGGATGGAGGGATTTTAAGGCACAGCAAGACAACACCTAGAAAACAACAAAGAAAAGGCACTGATTTCTAGCCTGGAAAATAATACAGATGCCAGGGGAAAAAAATTGGACAAGGAAGTAGGCTCAGGCCCTCCAGGAGGGGTCCTGAACCCCTGGGTATTTTAGGGGCTTGTGTTAAGAAAGCCAGAGAAAAACCCTGGTGCAGGGTGGCAGGTCCCTGCTTCCTGACCGAGTGGCTGTGGCCTCCCATGGGATGGGAGCAGTACAACCCAACTTTCCAGACACCTTCCAACTTGATGGAATGACCTGCAGTAGCCTCAACCCAAGGTCATCATGTTCCCCACTGGCAAAAGATAGGAGGACTTCTCATCCCATCTGCTCTTGTTCTGTGGTCCCCCTGCCCTGCACTCCAGCTTGGTAGTAAATAAATAACCAACACATAGCTAAGCTGCACATCCTCTACACAGATGTCCATGAGAACACCCTGACCCCATTCCAGATCTACAAATGGGGTTATCTACTGAGAGGAGAGGCCCTCCTTCCTGACTCAGGGGAGTTTTCTTCTTTGGCCGCCCACCTTCTCCTTTTATTTGGAGTTGTACTATAAGCACAGTACTTCCAAATGCACTGGAGGCTCTGTTGCAGCTCATTCTGGGTTTGTGTGATGGATGGTGGGGGAAACAGCAAGGGCCAGGAAGGAGAGTGTGGATAAGAAAGGAGGAGAGGAAGGAGGGGAGAAAGGAGAAGAGGACAGGAGGCAAAACAGGAAGAAGAGAAGAAGGGAGAGAAGGAGGAGGAGGAGGGAAAGATGAGGAGGAGAAGGGGAAGAAGAGGAGGAAAGAAAAGCAAGAAGAGGGGAAGAAAAAGGGAAAGAGGAGGAGGAAGGAAAGGAGGGAGAAGAGGAGGAAGAGGAGAAAGGGGAGAAGAGGAAGGAGAGGAAAGGGAGAAAAGGAGAAAAAGGAAGGGGAGAGAACAGGAAGAGGAAGGAAAAGGAGGGAGGAAGGTAAAAGGAAGGGGAGAGGGGGAGGAAGAGGGAAAAGAAGAGGAAGAGAAAGATGAGAAGGGGATGGGGAATGATGAGTCAAGGGATTAGGTAGGCTTTGGGGGGAGAAGATGACGGATGGATGATGGTACATCATTTGCTGTATCATTGCTTTTCTTCTTTCTCTCCAATCACTAGATTCTAGGTCTCAGTTTCTGATTTCACAGGGGAAAAGGTGTCATGGACTAATGGACTCAACTTCAGAAGGCTGCCACCACCAAGTACTGCTGTCTCCAAACCTTGGAATAAGCCAAACACCAGAGTCAAGAACTGGCACAGCTCCCTAGAGACACAAGTCACAGGACCTTCGGCTTTCCCTTTAGATTAATATTGCAGTATCAGCCAAAGCTTGGGCTAGCGCTGTACCCAAGGCCAGGTACTTCTGGAGGTCCCACAGAACTTGGTGCTAGTGGGCCAGAAAGACTGTTTGTTTCCCAGGGAAAGAAGGACCAGCATAGATTGGCAGTGCCATGTCACAACTCCATGGCAGGAAGGAGTGTGACGGGGCAGCCAGGTTTGTGCAATCAAAGACATGGGACATTTGTTCCCTTCTGGGCTCAAAGATCCTTTAAGATTATGCTTCCAAATCTCCTTTGGAACTGTTTAAGAACACAGATGGGCTGAGGATGTAGCTCAGTGGTACAGTGCTTGCCTAGTATGCATGAGGCCCTGAGTTTGACCCACAGCACTAGAAAGAAAAAAAAAAAAAGGAACATAGATGCCTACAATAATCAAAGTCCTCAGAATTAGAAACTTGAAAGGGCAGATCCAAAACCAGAATCTGGCATATACACATTTGGGGGGTGGGTGCTACAAAGGGCCCTGTACAATAGTGGAGATTCCACCAATTGCTTGAAAGGGCCCTTGATAAAGGTCTGTAGGTGTTTTCTGCTAAATGTAGAGAAGACATTCACATTAAAAGAAAACAAACAAAACCACTCTTTTGTGTGACTGATTGTGTTTCAACATTTGTGGTGTATCTTTCAAATGACTTTTGTTTTTCACTAAGAATTGAATACAAACAGCCAGGCATCAGTGGCTCATACCTATTATCCTAATTACTTGGGAGGCTGAGATGGGGAGGATCGAGGTTTGAGGTCAGCCTGGGCAAACAGCTTTTGAGAACCGCGCCCCCCAATCTCCAAAATAACCAAAACAAAATGGACTGGAGACATGACTCAAGGGGTAGAGTGCCTTCTTTGCAATTTCAAACCCCAGTCCTAACAACAACAACAAAAAGTATTGAGCCCAATATTTAATAACTTTCAAATGAGAATAAAATACTTATACTATTTTATTGTCAAAAGGCAACATGGGCCAGGTGCCGGTGGCTCATGCCTATAATTCTAGCTACTCAGGAGGCAGAGGTCAGGAGGACCGCAGTTCAAAGCCAGCCCAAGCAAACAGTTTGCGAGATCCTATCTCAAAAACAAAACAAAACAAAACAAAACCATCACAAAAAAAGGCTGGTGGAGTGGCTCCAGGTCTAGGCCCTGAGTTCAAGTACCAGTACCAAAAAAAAAAAAAAAAAAGAAAAAAAAAAGGGCAACATGGCAGCTTCTCTGAGTTTGGCCAGATCAAGAGAAAGAGATCCAGGCCAAAAGGAAACCCAGAAGTTGGGGGTATCACTAATGAGAAAGCATGTGCTTACTATTTAGCATTTGAGGCTCTGGGTTCTACTGCCCACACAAAAACAAACATAACAAAACAAAAAAAAAGAAAAGAAGAGGAAAACAAGTCAGAAGCTACTGTGCTATAATTCTTGATTCCAAAGAAAATGATGGGTCTTTCACCTAATACATGATTTACTCTCTACTTTTCACACTGGTCCACACTTTGCCTTTACAGTTGGACAGCCAGGCTGATGTCCTGTGACGAAGATTCATCACAGCTCAATAATGTCTAAGTATTATATTATAGGAAGGTACCCAAAGAAAGTGACTTATGAGTCATTACAAGCTCATATTTGGCTGGGGGCTGGCTCAAGTAGTAGAGCACCCGCCTAGCAAGCACGAGGTCCTAGGTTCAAACTCCAGTACTGCAGAAAACAAGGAAACAACCCCCTACAAACACTTCCTCTCTGCAAAAGTCTTACTTTTTAAATAGCAATGTACTTTCTGCCTTACAGATGCAGAAAACATAAACCTTTTAGTACTTTCTAATAGAATAGGTTTCAAAAACACTGGTTTCTACATGGAGTATCACATGACGTGACTACTTTGGCAAATGCCCCACATTATTCTTTAGAAGGCAAGTTTGTAAGAAGGTCTGTAACCACAAGGACTTACCCTTATACCCAGGCCCTCTGCATCTCCTACGCCCAGTATTCATTCACACAGAGCAATCAAGAAAGGAAGAGACATTTTATACTAAATGCCATGTTTTAGAAAGCGACAGACAAGGACAGGAGCAGAATGAGCAGTCAGAGCAAGTCTGTCGAGGACACTGGGTTTGTTAAGACCAAGAACACCAGGCTGGAAATTTTTCTGTACATTTCTTTCTTTCTTTTTTTTTTTTTTTTTAAAGAAAATCAGTTAGAAAGGTGGTCTTTAACTGAAATGGAGAACTGTGGGGTAAAGGGGTTTGAGCTCAGGGTCTTCACCTTGAGCTTTTTGAGATAAGGTCTTGCGAATTATTTTCCCTGGCTGGCTTTGAACCGTGATTCTTCTGATATCTGCCTCCTAAGTATCTAAGATTATAGGTGTGAGCCACTTGCGCCTGGTAAGTTACTGTTCTTTTTGTTAACAATATGGCACAACTCAAGCCACCAAATTTCCCACCAGCACTTCTCTACTCTCGGGATGAAGGTGTCTTTCTTTTGGTAATTTTTTCCTCTCTCTAAATTTGGCAGAAATGTACACATGGAAGAGTTAAAAGTGGCCAAAGCTGCCATTTAAGAAAATTAAAAGCATCCAAATACAACTGGTGTCCAAGGCACTTTCTGCACTCAGGTGAGAACATCTTATTAACTCTAATGCTTCTTGTCACTGGCAGTGGGTAGAAGGTACGGAGGAAGAGTCCAGAGCTAGCAAAGGAGCTCAGCTCAAACACCTTGAAGAAGCGAGTGAGCCAGGGAATTCCAGACCATCAGAGTTGGAGGGGATCTCAGACATCTCACTGTCCCACCCCTGTCACTGTGGGATGAGGAGCCAAAGCAAAAGGAAGGAAGAAGGGATGAGGAAAGGCCAAAAGGGACTGGCTGTGTTTTCTGGCACACTTTCCTCCACCTGTGGCCTGGACGTAAGATAGGATGCTCAAGAGGGGAGCAGGCAGAACAGTGTACTGTTATCTCCTGAGGTAATGACACATTCAGTGAAGGTGGGAAACCAGGAACTGTCCCCATCAATAGTAGCTGGGAAAAAGCTAGAGAGGGATAGAAGGTGGCAGGAGTGTGTATATGGAGACTATACAGGAGACATGAAAGATGACAGCTTCTTCCTCAGACATGGTTCCTAAGATGAGAGAAAGGGCTGAAGGCAGCTAGCAGGTGGACCTCTAGCTGGGCATTTAACATCTGGCTTCCTCCTTGCTGCCCCTGTGTGGAATGGATGGATTGGAGAACATGTGTAGGAGACACTAGGGTAACTCCATGAATTTCCTAGGAGGGCAGGAGGAGGCTGACCTTTGAGATAGAGACAATTTGCTTACCTACAGTTGGAACTGGAACTCAGCCAAAGGCTAGATTGTTTTTTTTGAGACAGAATCTTTCTATGTTGCCCAGGCTGGCCTTGACTCCTGGGCTCAAGTGATCCTCCTGCCTCAGCCTCCCAGGTAGCTGTCAGCTAGATTTTTATACTTAAAAAAAAAAAAACAAAACCCTGTAAAATGTCTTCTCTGCATAACACCTTTGTTTACAGGGTTGCTGCACAACTGAAATTTAACTTGCACGCTTTTTTTTCTTGCATACTAGGGCTTGAACTCAGGACCTACACCTTGAGCCACTCTACCAGCCCTCTTTTGTGATGGGTTTTTTCAAGATAGGGTCTCACGAACTATTTGCCTGGGTCTGGCTTGGAGCTGCAATCTTCCTGATCTCTGCCTCCTGAGTAGCTAAGGTTACAGGCATGAGCCATTGGTATCTGGCTGTTTGCATACTCTTAGTGTATGCCTTTCGTCTTTTTTCCAACTTTTGGAGGGATTGTCTAACAGAAGCCTGACCATGGGGCAGCTGCAGGAAACCTGGCCCTGGTGAGGACTTCAGGCTGTACTAGTATTACTCACAGGACTGCCGGTTGAGTTACTTAAGTGTCCTTATGCCTTGATTTCCTCACGGCAACATCACCCTCATAGGACTGTCATGAAGACCAGCTCGGAAAGAATATAATCTTTACTAAGAACATAATCTGATCTGATATCAGGGATATAGCAGGCAGATGCACCTGCTAAGGTTACAAAAGGAGACGTGGCAGAATATGTTTATATTTACACCTACTGAACCCCATCTTGAATAAGCCCTACATCTTCCCTGCTCAGGTTCATATGTTATCAAATTTTAAGCCAACGATATCTGGCAATCATAAGTGAGGCAATCATGATGATTGGACTCTCAAGTGGGAACGTGTCTCAAGTGTGTGCAAAGACTCCAGTATAACTCTTGAAAGAAATTTCTGGAGGCTCCAGTTCTTAGGGAGATTGTCAGTTTTCTGGGAATAGACCCATCTGAGGATAAATTGCCTCATTCGAGCAATGTGCATTGCTTACCAAGCACAGCACTCTCATCTGGAGGAGCATGTGGGAGGCTGGGAGACAGCAAGAAGAGAGAAGTGAGTAAGGGCCAATCACAAGATTCAGACCATTTGCTTTCTGAAAAGTGGTAAGAGAAATTCAACTTCTCCAAAGACTCTGTAGGTGACAGACAGGGTCATTCAAAAAGAGCAGCAAAAGACACTGATGTAAGGGATACTTTCTCTCTTTTAAGAGCATGAACGCAGTCACATTTGGGGAAATAACAGGGGTCAGCATATCCAGAGTGCAATGGATAAGCCTTGCCCTGGGAAAACCACCTAGGGTAACTTCTCTTAACCACTGTCTTCATGAGAACTGCTACTTGAGTTTGTTAGGGTTAAACTACTCCAACTGAAAGAAAATAATAGCCTGAAAGGGCAGCATGTACTTTATGAACCTAGAAATTCTGGTTCCATTAAGCGAATCTTCCCTGGACAGGTATTGCTAACTTCCTGGATTCAAGGCCCCACTGCACCAGTAAGACATGCTGCAGCTATGTGGCAATCTCTGGTGACTGCAGCAGGCTAGGACAGACCCCAAACTTCCCAGCCATGACTTCATAGCTTCCTTTTCCTTTCCCAGTCTTCTGGTTTCCAGTGATACTGATGAACTCCTGCTGCTCCACCTCACCAGAAGACACAGGATTCTATGAGCATCTCAAAGCTTTGTGAAGCATCAGTACCACACAGTGCTTCCACCAAGACACAGGGCATGGCTCCCACTCAGTTCCCACTACCTTCCCTCACCATACTGTTGTAAATCTCCCAGCCACGTCAGATTGCTGTATTGCACAGCAAAAACAGGATGCCCAGTTAAATCTGAACTTCAAATTAACAACAAAGGAAGTCTTGGTTTATCTCAAACACATGGAAAAAACTTATACTAAAAATTATTTGCTATTGATCTGAAATTCAAATTTAACTGGCTATATATTTTACCCAAGTATCTGTACTATACATAAAGAACCATTTAGGTTTTTGGTTCTCTATATTAACATTTGATTGTAAACTCCAAATGATAAGGATCTCACTAAATTTACTCTTATATTAAATATATGAATCCTGTGAAAATATTCAGAAAATCATAATTAAGGTGAGAGCTGTATGGCCATTTGAATATTCTAAGTACCTGGTATAAAATTACTAAAGATGCATTCCTATTCTAAACTCCTCTTTAAAAATCAACTTACATAAAAGTAACATCTGAAAATACTTTTGGGATATCATTTTGGTAATTTAAGTCTGTTACTTAGAATGTTAGTCATATTTGGAGTGTTACTTGGGAACAGCAAGTATAAATAAAATTTTAAAAAATTCTACCACCATCCATCATCGATTTTCAAAATAAACACGAAAAAAAAAATCAAAACAAACAAGGGAAGATGCAACCCTCTTAGTGAATGGAGAGAAAACAGCCAAATCACATTTTGCAATATTTACCTTTACAGATACACAGCAGGCAAGAGAACCATACAGAATGTTCAAAATTTGAAAAGTTGCAGGATGCCAGGACAGAATTTCTCATGGCAAGGAACCAAGCTCATTATGCCCCAATACCTTAATACAAAGTCCCACTTCTCTGGCACCACCTCCATGCTTAACCCAGCAGATAATCTTGAAACCCTTTCAGGGGAAGGGATTGGGAGAAGGAAGTGAGGGAACACATGGGCTTATACCACTTTCAACTGAAAACACCGAGTGGCTAAGATCACAGGCAAGGTCACGTGGTTACAAATAGCAAAGGGGAAAACAGAACCTCAAAAAAGACTACATCTTCTAAGAGTAAAAGAAGAGGCTAGGAATAAATGGAGTGTGGGAAAAGGGTCCCACACTTTTGACCCCAAGCCCCTTTGCTCCTTTTCATCCTGGCCATAGCCTCCCTGCAAGAAGAAGGACTTTCTGCCCAGTGGAGCTCTCTTACCAGTGTGTGTGAGCATGTGTCTCTGGAGAGAGCTGGCCCAAGGGAAGACCCGGGGACAGTGAGGACAGTTGATCTTCTGTAGACAGTTGGCGTAGGAGTTCCGCTTTGCCCTCAGCAGCCTGTCTTCTGGGGGGTTGCCCTGCTCCTCATCACTGGGCCCGTGGTGGTCTGCAGGGACTCCGGCCACCTCGTCCTGAACATCGTCCTCTGCAGTCTGCAGAAACGGACTGAACTTGTTAGTGTCCGTGGTGGCCAACATCTTCTCGATGCTGGCAAACTCCCCGCTGGAGTCCAGGTCCACCCCACCACTACTGGCACGGGGCCGGCTCCTCATCCCCCTTTTCCGGCCTCTCTTCTTGGATGAGCCAGCTGGCTCCTGCTCAGTGGGTGAGGCTGCCTCTGGGCTGCTGGCTGTCGGAGGTGGGTCACTGGATGTTGTAGGGCTTGTGGTGCCGGAGGCTTTGGGGATGGAGCCTCCTAAGCTGTCTGCAGCTGCAGTGTTATTGCTGGTGCCCGATGGTCCTGGGTCAGCCACTGTGGTTTTCAGCAGGGTGGGGGCCGAGGACACAGATGAGATGATCTGGGCAATTGAGGCCAGTGGGGGCAGCTCTTCCGTCATGGGGGGCTTTGGCAAGAGCAGGGGGGGCTTGGGTCGTAGTGGCCGCAGCAGGGCCTGGCTGCTCAAGAGGGCTGAGTTGCTTATGAGGGTAGAGTTGCTGACAAGAGTTGAGGAGTAGATAGGGACAGCCAGCTGAACAGAGCCCTGGAGGGGCTGAGCGTGGGGCTCCAGGGTGGCAGCTGTGGTGGGAGCCACCACAGTGCCTGTGGGGTTTTCCAGGATCCCGCTGGACCCCAAAGTCACAGGCAAGGTAGGGCAGGGTGGTGGACAGGGAGAGAGCTGCTCTGTGCTCCCAGTTTCTTGCTCTGACTTCCTGGCTTCACTGAGAGGAGCGGTGTCTTTGTCTCCCTTCCTGAAGTTCTTGGGGATGGACAGGTCGATGGGCTCCATGGAGCAGTCATAGGGGGCCAAGGAGGAAGGGCTCAGGAAGGAAGACACATTTTCCTGCTTCACTTGGACCAGGGCCAGGCCCTTCTGAGAAAAGTCCAGGGGCTCATTGAAGTCCACTGCAAAATTGCTGGTGGGCTCCAACTTCACAGAGACGTGGGGAGGTGGGGCCTGTGTGGGGCCCACGTGAAGAAAGCCATTTTGGGGCTCTAGAAAGGTGGCAAGGGGCTTGCAGTCAGCAAAAGTAACACAGCTACTCTCTTCCCCCTTCCCGGGGGCCTCAGTGGGCGTCTCTGCGGGGCCCAGGCCACCATCAGCCGCCAGCACATAGCTCTCGATGTCGTGCTCTGGCACGTGCAGGTGCTGCTTTAGGATGTGATGGATGCAGTTGCGCTTGGCAGCAAAGGCGGCACTGCACTCCTTGCACTCAAAGGGCTTGCGGCCCTTGTGGCAGCCGCCCAGGCCGCGGCCACAATGCGTGCGCATGTGGATGCGCAGTGCGCGGTAGTGCTTCAGTCTTCGCCGCACAGCCGGCACACGGTGTCAGGGGCGCAGAAGGCGTCCACCAGCTCTGCTGCGCTGCTGCTCACGTACTCGATGTTCTTCTCAATATCTTTGCGGGTGGCCTTGAGGTGCTTCTTGCGCAGGTGTCGCTCACAGTTGGCTTTGACAGTGAAAGGATAGTGGCAGATCTTGCAGATGTAGGGTCTCTCCCCGCTGTGTGTGCGCAGATGGCGGATGAGCGCTGCCTTGTCTGCAGCAATGTAGTCACAGATGTTGCACTGGTACGGTGAGATGCCCAGGTGGGAGCGAACGTGGGCACGCAGAACTCCCGAGAAGGCAAACACCTGGTTGCAGAAGCGGCAGGGGTAGAGCACCTTGCGCATTGCAGGAGTCTTCTTGCTGCCAGGTCCTGTCATGATGGCCTTGAGGTCCCCCTCTGTGATCTCCTGCTTGATCTTGGCCTCCATGCTCAGGGGAAGCAGGGCCTCAATGATGCTGTCCTGCTCCAGCTGTGTCTTCATCTCAGGCTGGCCTGGTAGCTCCACCCTTGGTTGCTGCAGGAAGAGTTGTGTGGCCATGTTTGGCTGGGCCCCAGACTTGGACTGCAGTAGATGGGCATTGGAGGCCGCCTCCACTGACCCCTTGAGGAGCTTCAGGGGTGGTGGTGGGAGGCTGGGGCTCATGCAGCCAGGAGAGGCCTGCTGTGCATTGATGAGAGGCGGGGGTGTGGAGGTAGCCACCACTGTTCGGGGAGTGACCAAGGGCTTTGGCTTCAGAGGGGGCATGTGCTTGAAAATCGCCTGCAGGGGGGTGGCAGGGGCCTTGGAGAGAGGCGGAAGACTGATTTGTGGGGGAGCTGAGGCTGCCATCTTCAGAATCTGCTGGATGTCTGCCAGCTCAATGGCTGACTCCCCAGAGATGGGCTTGACCACGATACTACTGTCCGGCTGGATGATGAACCCTTTCTGGAAGGGCTGCAAGGACAGATGCTTCATGCTTTCCTTGGTAGCTGGGAGGACTGTGAGAGAACCACCTAGGGAAGCAGCTTCAAAAGGAGACAGACTCAGCACACTGGTATGGCCCGGGTCCTGAGGTAGCTGACACTTGAGTGTCTGGAGCTGTATTGCTTGGTTGTCATCTGGCAGGGGTTCCTCCACCGGCACAGGCCTGATGTCTTTGGTGTGCTGCAGGCCTAGCAAGGCCAAGAAGACCTTCTGGTCCAGGGTATCACCAGTCAGGGTCTTGGTCTGCAGCTTTTCTCGTCCCTGGTCCACAGTGCTGTGTGTCTGCTTGTGCATGGTGAGTGAGGAAAGCATTGGAAATGCCTTGTCACAGGTGTCGCAGATGAAGCGGTGTTGCTCGCTGATACATCTTCGAAGGTTTGTTTCACACCAGGCCTGAACAGAAACCGCAGGTTAAAGCAAGAGAACAAAGATGAGGACTTAAAAATCACCCTAAAGGAAGATGAAAGAAATTGTTGTACAACTGCCAGTAGGTAGCCTTTCTCTACTAAATATATAAGGAGTTGACTTTCCTCTGACTGTTAATCTGGGACTGAATTAGTAATATCACAAATATCTAAAGAATCATGTTTGCTTGGACAAGGACATCCTCACTAGGGAGATATTGAAGTGCAGTAACATAAAACCACCATGGAGGTAGAATTCTTTTTCTTTTTAAAAATGCCTCATAAAAACTAATGGTCATAGGGCATGGAGAACTGGCCACCTCTGTGATTGTGGGAGAGGGAATGCTGCCTGGGAGGAACAGGAGGGAATACCATGGGGGAGGGGTTCATGTGTGTACACACATGGAACAGTCCACTGAATTTGCAGCTTGTGTACTTGAAGATCTTCAAGTTGATACCTGATACTTCCTATCTCGAGTTTATAAAATGGAAAAAATAATCTCAAGTGGTTTTAACAGGTTCTGTATAAAAGTATATGGATTTATTCTTGTTCAAGCCAATAATGATTCAAAGCATTTTCAATAGAAACTACAATGCTAGAAACATCTAGCTGTGATACAGACACTAAAGAGAGATTAAAAGATACAAATTTAAATTACAGTGGGGCTTGGGTAGAGGTGATGATCAATTCACAACACCAAGTCCCCAAAACCCCAAGACTGGTAAAAAGGCACGAGAGTCACATACAACTCACAGGAAATTCACTCTAAACAGAAAACTACACACCCCTCTCAGCTCAACAAACCCAAGGGAGACAGTTAAGGGCCAACCTGAATTTAAAGAGAAAATGCATTATAAAAAAGATGCAAGCCAATCAATAACATTTTAAGGAAAGGGAACCTCAGGGAGAGGAAGTTTAGTCCAACTACATGGACCAGAGGCAGCTGCAGGTTCAATGGGTCCATCAGAATACCTGAGAAATTCGAGGAAACTTCCTACAGGAGAAGTCAGTGAACCCTAAGTCGTGGAAGCCAGCAGGAATTGAAGGGTTGTTCTGGATAAAAGGTCTTCCCATTGCGTCCCTGGGAAGCTGTTTGTGGACAAGTGCATTGTGGCGCAGCAGTCCTCGGTGTGTTCGAAAGGTGACGCAGCAAATGTCACATCTGGGAGAAAGGAAGAGAAAGACATAAGAAAACAGCTCAAAGTTTCCACTGCTATCTTTTTTGTTCCTTCATGTCAGTTGAATACACAAAAAAGTAAGACATAAAGAAACCAGTCTGTTAGTGGTTAGCACCAGAAAACTCTTCCTTTTAATTTATTTTTAAAAGCTATATCCTACCAACTCTAAACACCAAATGTTTGCAGGCAATACAAGATGTATATGTAACTCAGCCATCCCAAATCTGTGCACAACGACAGCTTGGGACTCTGAAACCATTGCAGATCTTCTTGTTACCTGAATCATGCAGTATAAAGGGATCATTTCAGAGGTTTTCTTCTCCTCTCAGTTCAATGGATCTTAATTATTGTAGATGTTTAAAAGGCAAAAAAGCATGTAATTACAGCACTAGAGGAATCACAGTCGCATCCCTGGTTTCCGATAGGGTAAAATATAGTCTCTTTGAATTGATTCAGCAAGCAATTGTGATTACCTGTTAAATTGTAATATTATCACCATTGTTATCAGAACAATAACCATAGTTCCTACATATTAAGCTCACATTAAGTAAAAATCCTGCTAGGGCAAATGCATTCAAGGTCAGGCAGGTGGATATCACAACCCTCACCTTACAGAAGAAAACACTGAGTCTCAAAAATGTTAATTGTTGTAAAGGAGGTCACATAGCCAGGAAGAGGAAAAACAAAATATGAGGCTAAGGCCTTACTCCTGTCCTTGCCTATCACAACTGTCTCCATTCCCTCAAAATTCCCACAAATGCAGTCCATGGAATAATCATGACCTTCTAAAAAGGGGGGTGAGGGGAGGAACCCATGATTCTTCATTTTAGGTCCTGAAATGTTCTGGACCATAGAGATGTGAAACAAACACTATCTTTTAACACCGTCTCTACTTTTTATATCAGTGTTGCCGTCTAGGTCTTCATTGAGAACAATATTTAAAATGCTTACAATAATATTATCAGCATCCCCTAGACCTGCACTAAATACAGTCACTGGAACCACATGTGGGTATTAAAATGGAAATTAATTATAATTCATTAACTCAGCCTCATTTTCAGAGCTCATTTGTGTGAAGCAGTAGAGATGTGATGTGTTTGCACCATGGCAGAAGGTTCTGTGTGAATAGCATCATTCCATCTATTTACTCATGTAGCACCGCATCCATCTCTCACAATCCCTCTAAGGTAGGTCTTGTTCCCATTGCTTTTCAGAGGTGAACTACCATTTACACTACATACACTTTACTGGAAACTTTCTTTTCTGCTGTGAATTTTTTTTCTAGAAAAAAAAGAGATAATGAAATCACCTAAGAAGCAGCTGAGCTAACTTTGAAGGAGCGTTGAAACATGTAAGTGCCAAGTATACACAGCCCTGTTTATCACAGAACACAGGGAACCTCTCTTCTCTGTTAAATTGGGGATATCTCCCCAGCAAGATTCCTGTCATCATTCAACTACATTTAGAATACTGGGTTCCCATGAGCCATTCAAAACACAATGCTCCTTTTGAGGGGAGTCTGCTGAGCTCCCCAGCTGTGGTCAAGGCCCCAGGGAAGGGTTGGACTGAGACAACCCAGAACGCAGTTAGGGACTGGAAGAGCTCACACTATGGGCTCAGATGGCAAGGTTTGTACCTCCCCGGCACAGTGGAGTATGTCCTGAGGGAGACTTTGAACCACAAAGGAACCAAGGAATGGAACCATTCCTTGCCAAAGTGCCCAGAGGTCTAAGTCACAAGTTCGGAGACAAGAAGGGAGCAGCATGGATACAGTTCTGGGCCAGAGTCTCTTTCTGGCTGGAACGCGTTCAAGTTCTGAGCTGCTCACAGAGGGGATGGTGACCTTGGAGGCTGATGAGAGTTTTAGTCCTATTCTACTGCCCTGGAAATGAAGCTCCCTGACTTCAGACCTCCCTGGCTCAAGTTTAATTGCACGTGGTCACCAACCCATCTCCTCGATGCTGGTTAGCTCGAAGTTCTGTACTGGTCAAAAAGAATGAGAGAAATGTCTGAATCAGGGAAACTGAACTCTGACCAGATATTTGATGATATTAAGAAATTAATGCTAGCTATAATAGTATTTTAGCTATTTTCTTTCTTTTTTTTTTTAAAAGTCCTTTTCTTTTACAGATATATAATGAAATAGTTATACATGAAGTGTGATATCTGGGCTGGGAAGAGATGACACAAGATTCATTGTGAGTTGACAATTCCTGAAACTAGTTGAGGATGTATGGGGTTCATCATACTGTTTTCTCTTCTTTTATATGTGTTTTGAGATGTCTCTTAGTATGAGAAAGTGAGAGAGAGAAAGGAGAGAATGAACACTATCTCACTAGAAATAACTAGTAAGGTGATTTTTTTGGCCACCTTCTACAAGCTTCAATGCCCCATCCACTATCTGCTGCAGGTGTATCTAACTGGAGAGAAAAACTGTGGAGGGGAAGCCCCTATAGTTCTTTTGTGACACATGTGATATGAAGGAGCCCATTTTCCCAGCATGATCCTGTTTCTTCTTGCACACCTACTGGACCATTGGAGCTTTTGGAAAGGGTGGGAGGTGGGGTCCAGAGGGAGGTACTAAGTCCAGGAATCAGAGGTTCCACACACATAGGAGAGCTGGGTGCTCAAGCCTCTGACACAGTCTGGTTTGGTACTTATGAATCAGAGCTAGATCAGAGAAGGTGTGGGAGATGGAAGCTGGGCTGTGCCTTCATTGAAAGTTAAGATATGAGGAGGAAGGGAGCAGGAATCTGTCACCCAGAGGCTCCTGCAGGCTGTAGTCTACAATAATTCACTTCCTATAGTAATTAGCACTTACCACATTCAGTTTGTGTAGAGTATTTTCAGTGTTTTAAAATTAATTTTTATTATTGCTAGGATGTTACAATGCATATTTAAGCTCATTCCAGTCTAAGTACAGTGAAATAAACAATGTTAGTAAAATCAGCAATCATTCAGTACATCTTTACCTGTGAAGCCAGGAGGGCTCATACCTTGCAGAGAGGGGCTTATTAATCAAAGGCAGGTAAAGAGAGATCTCATAAAATAATTTATATACACCTTAATTGTAGTACTTAAACCTAAAACATATATATATATATATATGTCTGAAACATATGTTTGTCATAACATAAAGCAATGATCCCCATTATTTGTGAGTTCTTTACTTCTGAATTTGCCTATTTGCTAAAATTGATTTATAGCAATTGATTTTTGTGATACTTTTATGGTCATTCACAGATATGCACAGAACAATGAAAAACTTGAGTGCCTTAACACACATGATCCCAGCTAATGTTAAAGGAAACCACACTCAGCCTTCTTATTCAGCTTTCATTCTGTAAATAAAATCCTTCGTGCTGTCTATTTCATGCCATGTTCTTTGCATTTTTGTGTTTTTCTTTGGTGATTTTGGTGTTTCTAATGGCCCCTAGGTGTGGTTCTGAAGTGCTGTCTAGTGTCTTAAGTACAAGAAGTAGTGATGTGCCTTATGAACAGAATACATTAGAGAAGCTTTGTTCAGGGATGAGTTATAAAGTTCAAAGGCTGGTTTTAAGTTCAATGTTAATGAATCACTAATATGTATTAAGTAAGGTGACATTAAATGGAAACACACATAAAACAAGTTATGTATTGATTAGTTGATGGAAATGTGACCAGAGGCACCAAGGAACCTAACCCAGTATTTCCCTAGGAGCAATGGTTCATCATTTGCTATTTCTGTGTTCAGTGACTTTGCAGACTCAATTATCACAAATATGAAGAACCACTAGCTGGGTGCTAGTGGCTCACACTGTAATCCTAGCTACTTGGGAAGCTGAGATTAGGAGGATCATGGCTCGAGATCACTGCAGGCAAATAGTTCGAGAGATCTGATCTCCAAAGACAAACAAACAACAGAGCAAAATGGACTGGAGGTGTAGCTCAAGCTGTAGAGCATCGCTTTACAAGCACAAAGCCCTAAGTTCAAATCCCAGTCCCATTAAAAAAAAAAAAAATCAGCTGAGCAATTGGCCCTCTGTATTCACAGGTTCTGAATCCATGGACTCAACCAACTGTGGATTGAAACTACGTGAGGGGAAAAATGCGCCCAAATGGGACATGTGTATTTTTGTCATCATTCCCATACAGTATAATAATCACTATACAGCATTTACATATGTGAAGTATCATAAGTAATCTAAATACAATTTAAAGTATACAGGAGGATGTGTATAGATTCCATGCAAATACTGCACCCTTTTATAAAGGGGACTGAAACTTCTGTAGTTTGGTATTTGTGGGGGAACCTGAACCAATCTCCTATGGATACTGAGGAATCACTGAAGATTCGTTCATCAGTCTTTCTGCAGAAAGCCAAATCTTATGTTTGAGGCTAGTTCCAAGGACTAGAGTTCCACGTTGTCATCATGGCATGAATCATATTCATAACGCAACATCTCTGACTGCCAGTTTTAGATTCTTTAAAGTAGAGCAGGGGCTTGGTTATTCTTTTCTTCTTTTTTTAAAGCAATATTCCATTGGGTTTTCTAAAATTTAAATAATTTTACTAAATTATAGTAAATTATGAGTAGTATTGGTATAGGCAGGTTGGGAAGAAATAATACTGACTTTTGCCAGCATTCAAGTCAACTGCAAAAAGGTGGACAGGTGGGCCTGAGGAGGTGGGCTATAAACTTTGTGAACTCTACAAGACCTTACAGGTTTAAAAAAAAAATACTTAAATATTTATTTTAAATTGACAAAAACTGCACATCAGTAAAAAAAATTGAGTATGTACCCATATCTGTTGTTTAACTAAGAAATGTGTGTAGATATACGTAATATAAAAATAACATATACACAGTAATAACACATATACTTTCACATATGTACAATGTGCTAGGTAATTATAAAATATAAAAATTCTTAAAGGGAGAGATAAAAAGTTCTATTTCTCCTTTTATCTCAGAGAGCTTCCTGAAAACACTCCACGTTTGAG